CGACATTTCTGACATATGTCCTATATTTTGGTAAGCGACATTTCCATCGACATTGACATTTTAAACCTTGGTTGTAGAAAACATCCTATTGTTAGATTTCACCTATTGTGATATTTTGTCACTATTTTACCATGCTTATTTTGTTGCTATTTGTAGTTTTTGAGTTTTTCCCTCTCCCAAAATGTTGCAAAGGCCAAACCACTACCTAAGTAGAACAGTGTTATTTTAGTAGAACTTAGAGCCCTATAAAAGAATAACACATGGGAACTGGTTGGTCCCCCTAAGGGAAAGAAACTAGTTGAATATAAGTATTTTCAACCAAGCACCAAACAATTAAGTCTATAGAGAAATAAAGCCAAACTTTTTGCAAAAGGCTTCTCTCAATTATATGGCATGGATTACAATAAAACCTTTGCTTCAAATGCTAAGATGAAATGCCAAAAAAAATTGATAAGATGAACTTTATTGCACACTTTGACTAGCTAAGCTACTTCATCAATTGGATACCCAAAAAAAAAAGCTTTCCTAAATGGAGATCTTGAAGATGAGATGAATATGGTTAGGCCACCAGCATTTCAAGTTGAACGTAGTGAAGAGAAGGTGTTTTTGTTATTGAAGTCATTGTATGGATATGCAGGGTACAGCCAGTTGGTTTCTAAGAATGTCAAACTGACCATAACTTGTTTGTCAAGCGTAAACAAAACAAGATAGTGGAGGTTATTGCATATGTGGATGACCTCATTATGACTGAAAATTGGACTTGTGAAATTAAGAAGCTAAAGGATTTTTTGTTGGCATCTCAATTTCAAGTAAAAGATCCAAGCCCATTAAAGTATTTTCTTGGGATTGAAGTTGTTAGGTCTTAAGTCCCATAAAGGCATCTTCATCTCCCAAAGGAAGCATGTCTCAAATCTACTCAAAAGTCAAAATACAAGCAATGTAGGGTCCACATCAATCTTCACCTTGATAGTCCACTTTAACAAATTTACCGGTGTACTTCCTCTCAACTTTTAGAATTCCAATGGGTGTGGCCAAGAAGTTAGAGAAAATTATGAGGGATTTCTTATGAGAGCCAGGTGACACTAAGAAGGATCATTTGGTAAAGTGGGAGGTAGTGACCAAAAGCAAGGAACAAGGGGGTTTAGGCATTCGCAATATCAAGAAGAGGAATGTAGCATTGTTGGGAAAGTGGTTGTGGAGATGGCCCCATGAGCAGGATAGATTGTGGCATAGATTGTTGGGAAAGTATTCATCATAGGGCATCTAATGGCTGAAAGGAAGGACTAGACCCTAAGGCTTCCCACTCATCACCATGGAAGGCCATTTCTTAGGTTTGATGCTTGTTCCGACGATAAAGTTCTGCTCTGGGAAGATGTTTGGTTGGGGGATAGCCCTCTAATGGACAGATTCCCTTCCTTGTACTCCCTTTCTTTGAACAAGGAGAAAGTGATCACGTCTGTTAATCATAATGGAGATACTCGGGGCTTAGGTTTGAGGAGAGAACTTAAGGATGCTGAAATGGGGGCAGTGGATGAACTTCTTTCCCTTTTGAGTACTGTTATTTTCCAGATGCTTCTTGTGAGGATAATAGAATTTGGTCAACCTCTTCTTTTGCATTGTATTCGTGTTCCTCTTGTTTTAGTGCCCTCCTTCACTCTACATCTGCAGTTGTGTCTTTCCCAGTTAAAGAAGTGCAATGCAGTCCAGTACCTCAAAAGTGAGGGCTTTTTGTTTAGAAGTGGCTTTGTCAAAGATCAATACCTGATGTACTAGAAAAAAGAAGGCCAAATCAGTGTCTTTCCCCTCATATCTACTCCCTTTGTTATGCTCGTGGTGAGACTTCTGAGCACGTGTTAATTTCCTGCACCTTTGTCTCTTTTATTTGGGAGTGGTTTTCTTCTCTCTTTGGTTGCAGGTGGAGATCGCCCCCAATGTAGCAGGCCCTTTTGAAGCAAGTTTATTTAGACAACCCAAAACAAGGGGAAGGATGTTATGGGAGCCACAAGAGCTGCAATCTTATGGACAGTTGGGAGGAAAAAACAATAGAATCTTTCAAGGAAAAAGGAAATCAAGGGAGGACTTGATTGATTGCATCACTATCAAGATAGTGCATTGGGTAAAATCAAATGAGTTGTTTAAGGAATTCACAGTGGATGATATAATCAGAGGCAGGATTCAGTAGCAAACTCTTCAAGATCTATCCCAGCAATTCAAGAGAGTTGGGCAGCCTCTATGCAACAAAAAAAGGCTCCCTTGGTAACCCAGGGCCCTCAGGCGTAGGAGTCTTTAGAGATGGGGAAGGCAATGTCTTGGCTCTTTTTTCGAGGTGTTAGCACTGCTGCAAGGTCTGAGATTGGCTAAACAGATGGGACTACACCAGATTGAGGTGGTAGGGGATTCAAGATTAGTAATAGATTGGATGAGAGAAGTCCGGTGCCTTACAAGGGAAATTGAAGCAAACTTCCAATGGGTTAGAAGAACAGCAAATGGCTTGAATGATGCTCTAGCCAGCCAAACAAGGATCAAACAGGAGTGAACTTTTCTGGGCTGCTTTGTAACAGTGGTTATGAATTTGGGTTCAGCACTTCAGCTTTGGAATGTTGGAGTTGTAATTTCTTGTTTTATTATCTTAATGAAAGTTAATGTTTCCTATAAAAAAAAAAAGGATAGTGGGGAGAAGATCTCTAATATCAAACAGTTTCAAAAGTTTGATTGGTAGACTCCTATACTTAACTATGACTAGACCTGATATTGCCTATGTTGTAAACAAGGTTCAAAGTATCGATATGCCCCTGTGTATCAGCAGGGGCGTATCGGTACTAAAAGAGTTTCACTTAATTGTTTTTTTTAGTTTTTTTCAAATTTTGATTTTTGGAGATTTTTTAAGGGGCTTTTTATTGAAATAAATGGGGGTCCCAAAACACCTGTAAATAGGTGTATTGAGACCAAAAGATACGATAGGATACGCCCGATACAGGGTGTATCATATCGATACTTTGAACCTTGGTTGTAACTTGTAAGAGTGCTCAGTTAGTACATGCATAGTCCTACTACTACTCATTGTTTAGATATTTATAGAAGCATCCAAAAAGAGGTCCAATCTTCTCTAAGCATGACCATCACCATGTGGAGACCTATACAAATGCCAACTAGGAATGGCTCCCTTGATGATATGTCTACCACTAGTTACCACACCTTTGTTGGAGGCAATTCGGTGACTTGACAAAGTAAAAGAAGCAATTTGTTGTGGCCAACTCTAGTGCAAAAGCCAAGTAGGGCTATGGCGCATTGGGTGGCTGAGGTGTTATGATTGAAAAACCTATCAACTGAGTTGGGTTTTCCTATGTCAAATCCTATACCCTTGTATTGTGACAACAAGGCAGCTATAAACATTGCTCATAACCTAAATCAGCATGATAGGATAAAACACATTGAAGTCAACAAGCACTTTATATGGGAAAGAGTTGAGAAAGGGGAAATATGTCTACCCTTTGTTGATTCTGAATATCACTCACTGATATATTCACTAAAATGCCTACCCCATGAAATAGTTTCTCTTTTCTTCTTTACTCTATAACTCTCTTCTATGGAAGATTACAATTTTCTTACTAATAGTGCTCCACATTCCCTGCATCAAGTGTCATATCTCAACATCTCATCTTCAAAAGTATGCCCTACTATTTCAAATTTGAATTAAATTCAAAAGCACTTTGATAAGGACACCGGAACTGTGAAATGGCATAACAATTAATAATGTAGACACTGCTATATCATCTGTGCACCAAACACAGTCTTCCAGGCTACAAGACACTATGCCCAACTATTTAAAAGAAAACCTACAATGACAATGTAAAAGTTTGAATGCAATGAATGGAACTTGCAGTCAAAATAGGTCAACCATCAAGAACTCATATGTAGGAAAAAAACTATTCCAAAGTGCCAATCTTGGATGACTGAGTGACTCAACCAAACAAAATTTGTGTTTGAACAAAAATTGTATTACTGGATTACAAAAATAACATTATATTTGTTTTATTTGATCAGAATCACATTACAATCAATACTTAAATTCAAGCCAGCTGTGTAGAAATTACCTTATAAGGGCCTGATTTGTTAATTATAAAAAGTTTCACATTACCACAATATATGAATTTTTCTTATCATTCAGATCACTTATTCACTTTTTTTTCATGAGAAGGTGCATGTTAGCAGTTAGAAGTATAGATGCTCAAAAGCAAAAGTTCAAACATAGCATTCACAACGTCAATTACAGAATGATGAACAAATAAAAAGACGATTAGATCGAATGTTATTCAAAGGATCTCATATAGATGTGTTTCACTCACTATGTAATCAAAAGGCAAATATCAAATCCTATAAAACTAAAAACTATTTGAGTACAAGCATACACAAAAAAAAGGAAGAATAACACCAATAATAGGCTGAACAAGAACTTCATGTCTCCTACAAAGTTGTCCGAAAAACCTATTATAATAGCCAAATTCCTTCCTCAGCTTCCCAATTTGATGACTTTTATCATCTTCTTACATAAAGCAATGCCCGTTATCACCACGGCCCCCGTGTAATTAGACCTGAGGAGGAGTAAACCCTCCAGCAGTCTAAAAAATTCCCCGGGAGAAGCTATCACAATTCAAACTCGTCTTCAAGCTTCAGAGCTTCAGCAGCAGCTTCTTCCTCTTCATCGTCAATAACGAAGTATGGATTGTGCGCCTCTGGCCTGAATTTATACCCTGTAAAAACATAGAATGCGAGCGTGGCCAGTTCACCAGCCACCACACTGGTCCAGAGGTAGCGATACGATGTTATAGTCACCAATGCATAAACAACAACACGCGTGAAATAAATGTAGCAGATAACAACAATGTAGTATTGACGGAAAAGCGTCAATTTCATCAAGTTCACTGCAGCCTTGCCATCAGTTCGCGCTGCCTCACGCAGATTCTTGATTGACCACACAATAGGGAACAGCACAGCACAACAGCAAACAACATCGACAAGCAGGAAGACCTGCTTCCAGGTGATCCAATCTTGTGCATAGGGTCCAGTCTCGTCAATTACGACCTGCGCAATGTTTGCGACAACCTGGAGAGGGATAACAATCATCAAGACTTTCTTTTCCTTGTCTTGCAGGTAGGGCTTCAAGAACGACCATCCGGTCCCAATGAGGACAATCAGGGTGAAGAGTGTAATCCCTTTCAAGAAGCTGAAAATATAGAAGAGAACATCCCAACCATGAGCGCTACCGGTACGCTTGATGTAAGATTTGTCCTCCGCCTCACAGAGCAGATTCAAAGCTTTCAGAATAACCACAGCGAGCATAAAGAAATGAATGCGAAAAACGGTCAAACGCTTCTTATATAGGACGTAGATCCAGAGACCCGCGAGACAGAAATAAACCAAGAAAAATAAGAAGTAAACCCTGGGAAGAATAGTCACGCCAGCGGACAAGTAGTCGCGGCGACCGCTCTTGCCGTCGAGATTATACATGGCAGATCGAACATCCATAGAGATCTGAAGCTGCTGAAGACAGTTGGCGAAGACGAGAGTGAACTGATTGGCTTCGTTCTCCGGAAACATAGAATCGAAGCTTTTGGCGCCTTTGAGACGGTCGAAGGTGTAGACAACCTTAACGAGGTCAGATTGGAGGGCACATGTGATGTCAAGGTCCTGGATCTGTTGGAGGACATGGATCCAGGAGTCTCTGGTGCTGAGAAAGAAGCCGACCTGAGAGAGGTCGAGTTCGGGGTTGGGATTTGAGAGAGAGATGTGAGAGACATTGAGTTCGAGACGACCTGTGTGTGTGAACCCGAACTCATCGAAAGGGATAATGGATCGATCGTCGGAACGGATCTCTGAGAAACGAATTTCAGCAACACAGAGAGAAAAGCAGAGAACCAAAATGGTAAACAGAGATAAGAAACGGGAAGGTTGAGAGGAGGAGATCGCCATGTTTAAGAGACCTGATTTTCAGATCTCAGATCTCTCTCCCCCTCTCTCTATTTTTCAGTCTTGCTTGCTTACGACATAATTCTTGTAATGATAAAACGAAAGAATTTGGCTCGTTTTTTAATATAAACCAGCGGGGACCCGTGCGATGCACGGAAAATCTGAAATTACTTACTAATAATTAATATTAAATTAATAATTAAAATTTGTTGTTAATTGTTGATTAACTAAAAGTATTCAAAGTTATTGTTAAAATTTAAAATTTAATAATTGTATTTTTCATTTAATGTTGATTTACAGAAAATAATTATTGTTAATTTAATATAAATAAATATTTTTTAATAAATTTAATTTTATTAATAATTTGTATTAATTTTAATAATTGTTATTATTTTTATTATTTTTAAATGGAATTTTGATTAACTTTAAATAATTACAAAAACTAACATTTTTATTAATTTCACTAATAATTAACAATTATATAAGAAATGGGTTCACAACAGGGCACCCCATCCTTGTCCTTACCCCATAGTCAAAACACTTTACAAGGCACCCCACTCCTCATCAGGGACGGAGAACCCTTGAATTTCCCTGCCCCATCCCTAGTATTGGGCGGATTCAAGTAAAGGTGTAAATCGGGTCGTGCTGGGTTGATACGGCATGACTCGCATGTAACCTGCACAAAGTGTGGGTCGTACCGTGCTAGCCCATAGGGCATCCTAGGTCATGCCTCCTTCCCTTGGGATAATTTGGGGAGTCAATTCGGCATGGCCCATGACCCAAGCCCGCAAGGGCTCGTGCCATGCCATGAGCCAGGCTAGTCCATGGACTGGGCAGCTAGGCTACGGACTGGGCCAAGTTATAAGAGGTCCATTTAAAAAAAAAATTGAAAAAGATGTTTAAATTTTTTTTTCATATGATTTTTTATGTATACAATTGTTTATATATACAATTAGACCTATTCATGGATCGGGTAGCCCGACGGCTCGGCCCCGCCTGACCTGTTATTCTTTAGGCTTGGACAAAATTTCAAGCCCATGGGCTCGAGCTCAAGCTTTCTCAAATAAGCTCGGCCCAATACTATTATATACATAAAAAAGTACTTAAGTTATATATAATAAATAATATATGTATATATATATATATATGCTTCTTAAATTATTAATAAATATCAATTTACTATTAGGAAATATAAATTAGTTTATTAATTTATTAAATTATTAGTAAATTAATATGATATTAGTTTATAAAAGTATACTAAAATAAGACATTTTGTGTACAGATCGGGTTTCGGGCTCGGGCTCAAGCTTCAGGCTTTATATAAGAGCTAGGCTTGGGCTCAAGATCTAGGCTTGATGGTCGGGCTAGGCTTGAACTTGGGCTTGCACATTTTTTGTTGATAAAGAGACCCGTGTTAATTATAAAACTATGATTTTTATAAATTAAATTTTTTATTTAATTTTAGTATAGTATAAAAAATATATATAACATTTCTATATATATTAATATAAAATTTATTATTTAAATCATATATCCATATAACTTCCAAGTTTAGCTTATTAGGGATTATTTAGCTTGGGCCCTATCCGTTAAATTCATCATTGAACTCCAAAAGTTTGATACCCAATTAAACTTTGAATCTAATTATCCCCGATAATGTGTGGGCATGGTGCCTATCTCAGCTACAACTAACTCAAAGGAAAATAGTTGCTTAAACCTACAAATCTATAGATCTAATAGTTGCTTAAGTTATAAATGATTTGTTACTCTTTATTAATTACTAAAATATTGTTAATTTTTAATTTTTTTATTTATTTTTAGTGTTTTAATTATGTTTAGGTTTTTCAGAATTTTCTGGGTTTTTAATTAATTATTGGTATTTTTCATTATTATTTAGTAATTTTTGCATATGAGTAATTTTGCAATAAAATATATTATACATTTTAAATTTTCATTATTTTTTATCATTTTTAATGAGTTCATTATGCACAATAAAGGTCAACTTATAAAAATTATACTTTTTAATTATACAAAATATTGTTAATTTTCAATAATTATGTTTAGGTTTTTCATAATTTTCTGGATTTTTAATTAATTGTTAGTATTTTTTCATTATTATTTAGTAATTTTTGCATATGAGTAACTTTGCAATAAAATATTGTTAATAAAACATGTTCTACATTTTAAATTTTCATTAATTTTTATCATTTTTAATGAGTTCATTATGCACAATAAAGGTCTCAACTCATAAAAGTTATTAATTAATTAAAAATGCATTAATTCAAAGTTATCTAATAATATTATTAAAACTATCAATTAATATTTATATTTAAATTTCATATATTTTTAATTAAATGTTGGTACTTTTTTATTATTATTCAGTATTTTTGCAATAAAATACTGTTAATAAAAAGGTTCTGCATTTTAAATTTTCATTAATTGTTATCATTTTTATTGAGTTCATTATGCACAATGATTTTTTTTATCATTTGCCAAAAATGCACAATGTTCATTAATTTTTATCATTTGTCAAAAATAATAAATCTGATAACTATAATGTTGTTTAAAATAATTGATCTTTATTTTTGTAATTTGTTACAAAAATAATAAATTACTACTAATTATTTAATAAAATAATTATTTTTTTAAATTATCCCTTAGTGTTCAATTTTATTTATTTTACTTTATTAACAATTAAATATTATAATTTTTTTGTAAATGTTTCTTAAATATTAGTAAATACATAAAGTTAGGTTGTAGCTCTAATTAAATTAATCTAAGCCCGATCTTGAGGTTTAAGAATTCGAGTTAGGCTTTGGTTTCAAAATTAACAATACTATTAACTAGTGAATAACACTGTAATTATTCAAAATACTATATTTATTAAAACACATTATTTTAATAAATAATGTTAATTAATTAAATTAATTAAAAATCAAATAAATACCGTAGTTAATAAAAATACTGTTACTTTTTTCAGTATTTTTCAAAAAAAATTGCAATAAAATTTTGTTAATTTTACTTTTTTTACTATTTTCAGTATTTTTATTAAATTTTAGGTTTTCCGAATTTTCCGTATTTTTATTTAATTTTTGGTATTTTTCAATATTATTCTGTAATTTTCTTTATTTTCAGTAATTTTTGCATATTAGTCATTTTTCTTTAATTTTCACTACAAAACTAATGCACATTTGTTTTTAGTAAGAATACATTAGATAAGTAAATAAATACAATAATTAATTTAATTAATAAATACTTATATATTAAATTTAATTGTCAGTATTTATGAAAATACTGTAATTATTAAAAATATGGTATTTATTAAAAATGCTATGTTTTAATAAATACTGTTAGTTAATTAATAATACTGTTATTATTCAAAATACTGTATTTATTAAAATACATTATTTTAATAAATAATTTACAATGAATTATTGAAAATACAAAAATAATAAATTTCAATAATTATTTATTATGAAAAGTAGACTAATTTATCTTTAATTTTCCAAATTTTTGGAAAATTTATTTAATTTTTATAATTTTGAAAATTATTATTAAGTTAATTTATTGGACTTTTGTTGAATTTTGTGAAAATTAATTTATTCTAATTTAATTATGATATTAAATAATTGTCTTTAATTGCACAAAACTAATAATTTTTCCTAAATTTTTCAAATAATTTTTGTTATTAATTGCCAAAGAAAATTTTAATTATTATTCTTATTATTTGTATAATATTATTACTATTATTATTAGTATATTATTATTAAAATGAAAAAAAATCAACCCTTGTAATACACAGGTTGCTAACATATTAAGCCATCCATTTATTACACGGTTCAGACCTATATGGTCCGAGTGGTTATTCGAAACGGGTCAAGGACAACCCATTTTCATTGTCTCCTTCACCCGCACGTTAAAACGGGTCCTGCGACAACCCGATTTATTTTTTTATTTTATGCTTTTTTTTTTGTTTTTTTTTATTATTGACTTATAATGAATCGGTTTGGATGCCAGAAACAATTTTTGTCAATTTTAACACAAAATAACGTTATATATTGAAGAAATCATAACTGATTTATTCTTACTACAACTTTAACGCCATAACTGAACTTGAACCAAAGTTTAATGCCAAAACGTGCATGAAGAAACAAACCTGCAATATTAATGCTAAATAAAAAACAAAGCTGAAAAAGAATGTTAATCCAATGAAAAAAACAAACCTGAAAGTGAGTTTGAATAAGGATAATAAACTAGCTCTGCAACCAATGAAGAAAGCCTTGTAAAAATATTCTCAAACTAATTATGTAACAAAAAATAATTGGTTTCAAAGTTGAATAAGGAGAAGAAAAACCAAACATGAACCAATAAAGAAGACAATCTCATACATTTGAAACTAACTCTCCAACTATCCGGAACCATCTATCAAGAAAGAGAGAGAGAAGGCGATCTCAGACGTTTGGAAGTCCAAACGCCTCTAAGTGTGATTGGCTATTGTTGGAATTGCAAAGCGAAATAATGTAATGTGTACGTGCGCAGAAAGAAAACAAAAAGCTGATAGCAATAGAGAAAGAAAAAAGAAAGAGAGAACACCAGATTTACGTGGTTCGGCCAAAATGCCTACGTCCACGGGTAGCAGTTTGGAGCTTCCTTCTTACTATAAAAAAGAGAAAATACAAAGATGACCTCACCAAAATCACACCTGATGAGGGCAGATTTGGCCCTCTAGTGAAAATGCGACACGTGGCACCTCGTGACAACTAGGCGATACCTAGGCAACAGCTTACCAAGTTGGTGTCCCACCTACGCACTGCTTGGCGTGGCCTGTGCAACCTGGCCGACCTGGATCAGCCTGGCACATGATCCGACCTGGCCGACCTGGCAACCCATAAGACGTCCACCGATGGATTATAACGGCATGCATACCCCACGAGCTCGGTAGCTCACCAAAGAGCTCGCCAAGGAGCTCGCCACCAAGGAGCCAGGCAGCTCAGCAAAGCTCGCCACAAGCAGCTCGACATAGCTCCCTCGGGCAGCTCGGCATAGCTCCCTTAGGCAGCTCGCCACTTGTAGGGTAACTCGGTACAGAAGAG